CTTCAGAGGGTGCAAGGCCTCCAGCCTTGGCAGCTTTCACGTGATGTTGAATCCACAAGTGCACAGAAGTCAAGAATCGGGGTTTGGAAACCTCCACCTATATTTCAGAAGATGTATGAAGACACTTGGATGCCCAGGCAAAAGTCTGCCACAGGGGAGGGGCCCTCAAGGAAAACCTCTGCTAGGGTGGTGCAGAAGGGGAATGTAGGGTAGGATCCCCCACACAGAATCCCTAGTGGGGTGCCACCTAGTGGAGCTGTGAGAATATGGTCACTGTGCTCCAGACCCCAGAATGGATAGGTCCACTGACAGCTTGCAGTGTACACCTGGAAAAGCTGCACACACTCAATGTCAGCCCATAAAGGCAGCCAGGAGGGAACCTATACCCTGTAGAGCCACAGGGGTGGAGCGGCCCAAGACCATGGGAACCCACCTCTTGCATTAGCATGTCCTGGATGTGAGACATGGAGTCAAAAGAGATTATTTTTGGAGCTGTAAGATTGGACGGCCCTGCGGGATTTCGGACTTGAATGCGGCCTGTAGCCCTTTTGTTTCAGCCAATCTCTCCCATTTGGAATGGCTATACTTACCCAATGCCTATACCCCCATTGTATTTAGGACATAACTAACTTGCTTTTGATTTTACAGGCTCATGGGCAGTAGGGATGGACAGTCTCAGATAAGACATTGGACCATGGATTTTTTAGTTGATGCTGAAATGAGTTGAGACTTTAGCGGACTGTTGGGAAGCCATGACTCATTTTGAAATGTAAAGATACGAGATTTGGGAGGGGCCGGAGTGGAGTGATATGATTTGGCTCTGTGTCCGCACCCAAATCTCATCTTGTAGCTCCCACAATTCCACGTGTTGTGGGAGGTATCTGGTGGGAGATGACTGAGTCATGGGGGCAGGTCTTTCCTGTTCTGTTCTCATGATAGTGAATGGGTCTCATGAGATCTGATGGCTTTAAAAAATGGGAGTTTCTCTGCACAATCTCTTTTTTATTGCCTGCTGCCATCCACTAGATGTGACTTGCTTCTCCTTGCCTTCTGCCGTGATTGTGAAGCCTCCCCAGCCATGTGAAACTGTAAGTCCAATTAAACCTCTTTCTTTTGTAAATTGCCCAGTCTCAGGTATGTCTTTATCAGCAGCATGAAAATGGACTAATACACGAACTGATCCTATGAGGCCAGCATCACCCTGATACCAAAACCTGACAGACACAACAGCAAAATACATACACACACACACACACACACACACACACACACACACACACACACTGATATCCCTGATGAACATGGACATGAAAATCCTCAACAAAACACTAGCAAACTGAATCCAGCAGCACATCAAAAAGCTAACTTACCACAATCAAGTAAGCTTCATTCCTGGGATACAAAGTTGATTCAACATATGTAAATCAATAAATGTGGTTCACAACATAAACAGATTTAAAAATGAAACCCATATGATCATCTCAAAAGATGCAGAAAATGATTTTGATAAAATCCAATATTCTTTCATAATAAAAGCCCTCAACAAATTAGGGATTAAAGGAACATACCTCAAAACAATAAGAGTCATCTTTGACAAACCCACAGCCAACATCACCCTAAATGGGCAAAAACTGGAAGCAGCTGCCTTGAGAACTGAAACATGACACGGATGCCACTCTCACCACTCCTATTCAACATAATACTAAAAGTCCTAGCCAGAGCAGTCAGGCAAGAGGAAGAAGTAAAAGGCATCAAATAGGAAAAGAAGAAGTCAAACTATCTCTCTTTACTGATGACATGAACCTATACCTAGAAAACCCTAACAACTCTGCTAAAAGGTTCCTGGAACTGATAAATAACTTTGGTGAAATTTCAGGACACAAAATCTATGTACAACAATCAGCAGCATTTCTGTATACAAGCATGCCAGCTAAGAGCCAAATCAAGAATGCAATCGCATTAACAATGGCCACCACACGCATACTAACAAGGAATACATCTAACCAAGGAGGTGAAAGGTTTCTACAAGGAGAACCACAAAGCACTGTTAGAAGAAATTATAGATGACACAAACAAAGGGAAAAACATTCCATGATTATGGATGACAAGAATCAATATCATTAAAATGGCCATACTGCCCAAAGCAATCTGCAGATTCAATGCTATTACTATCAAATGACCAATTTAATTTTTTACAGAATTAGAAAAAACTATTCAAAAATTCATATGGAAATGAAAAAGAGTTTGAATAATCAGAGCAATCCCAAGCAAAAAGAACAAAGTCAGAGGCATCACATTATCCAACTTCAAACTATATCATAAGCCTACAGTAGGCAAAGTAGCATAGGACTGGTACAAAAAGAGACACATAGACTAATGGAACATAATAAAAGGAATAAAGCAACAGACCCACAGCCATGTGATCTTTCAAAAAGTTGACAAAGATAAGCAATGAGGAAGGATTCCCCATTCATTATATTGTGCTGGGATAGCTGGCTAGCCATATGCAGACAAATAAAACTGGACCATCAGCCTATCATAATACTAGGAGAAAACCTAGGAAACACTATTCTAGACATCAGCCTTGAGAAGAAATGTATGACTAAGTCCTCAAAAGCAATCTCTACAAAAATAAAAATTGACAAGTGGGAAGTAATTAAACTAAAGAGCTTCTGCACAGCAAAAGAAATAATCAACATAGTAAACAAACAGTCCAGAGAATGGGAGAAGATATTTGCAAGCTCTGTATCTAATGAATGTCAATATCCAGAATCTATATGGAACTTAAACAATTCAACAAGAAAAAAAAGCAAATAACCATGTTAAAAAGTGGGCAAAATACATGCACAAAGACATTTCTCAAAGGAAGACATATAAGCAGCCAACAAACATATGAAAAAAAGATCAACATAGCTAAACATCAAGAGACATGCAAATCAAAACCACAATGAGATAGCCTCTCACAGTGGTCAGAATGGTTATGATTAAAAGGTCAAAAAACAACAGATGCTGGCAAGGTTGTAGAGAATAGGAAACACCTATATATTGTTGGTGGGAATATAAATTAGTTCAGCCACTGTGAGAGTACTTTAGAGATTTCTCAAAGAACCTAAAACAAAAGTACCAATTTGACCTGACAATCCCATTACTGAGTATATATCCAAAAGAAAATAAATTGTTCTACCAAAAAGACATGGGCACTCATATGTTTACTTCAGCCCTACTTACATTAGTAAAGACATGGAATCAACACGGAATACTACGCAGCCATATAAAGGAATGAAAATGTGTTCTTTGTAGCAACATTGATGTAGCGGGGGGCCATTATCCTCAGAAAATTAATGCAGAAACAGAAAACCAAATACTACATGTTCACATTTATAAGTGGGAGCTAAACACTGGGTATTCATGGATATAACAATGGCAACAATAAACACTGGAAACTAATAGAGGTGGGAGGAAGGGGCCAAGGTTTGAAAAACTAACCATTTCATATCATGCTCACTACCCGGGTGACAGAACCAGTCGTACCCCAAACTTAAGCATCATGCAATATAGCCATGTAACAAACCTGTACATGTACCTTCTGAATCTAAAATAAAACTTGAAATTATTTTTAAAATTATAAATCAAAGCCAGATAAAAAATTTTAAAAAATATGTTTGGAACACAGCCAATTCTATTCATTAAGATATTGTGTATGGCTGCTTTTGAGCTACAGTAGTACAGTTTACTAGTTGTGGCCTATTTACTATCCACAAAGTTTTGACCATACTCTATGTGAATGGCACCATCTAGAGCTGAGTACTACCAAACTTCCACAATCATGCAGCATCCCCAAAACTACAGATCCCTGGCAAAATTTATCATCCCTACGGTGTCAGGAAAGTGACTTCAAACGACATGTGAGGTTCAATGCGGGCCACATTAGTGGGACCGTAACAGGATACATTTTAGAAGAGGATAAAATCACAACTGCAAAGATATATTTAACATGTCAAGAGTTTTATTTAACTAAATAATCGAGAGACTCAATAATATATAACAACCAGTTCAAATGAAGATTTGACTTAAAGAGATTTACAGTTTCTATCTCATCAAAGAACACCAGAGCTATACAGTTAAACGGGTGTATTAGTCCATTTTCACACTGCTGATAAAGACATACCTGAGACTGGGTAATTTATATATAAAGAAAATGAGGTTTAACGGACTCACCATTCCACGTGGCTGGGGAGGCTTCACAATTTATGGCAGAAGGTGAAAGGCATGTCTTACATAGTAGCAAAAAAAAAAAGAGAATCAGAATCAAGTGAAAGTGGAAACCCCTTATAAAATCATCAGATCTCATGAGACTTATTATTCACTACTACAAGAACAGTATGGGGGAAACTGCTGCCATGATTCAATTATGAGAATTATGGGAGCTACAATTCAAGATGAGATTTGGATGGGAACACAGTCAAACCATACCAACAGGCAAAAGCAGATTTTAATCAGGAACTATTGCAATATGGGAAAAGAGACCTCAATATAGAATTGTAATCAATTCTAAATACAACACGGACAACTTGTGGATTTATAGCCAAGGAGCAACGTCAGGGTTAGTGGATCAAAATTACTAAAAGGAAGATTTAAGTGTAAGGGGGGATTTCTAGCTAAATGGATCCAATAGGATTCTTACTGAAAGCTGGCCAGGATGAATGGATGTCACCTGGGGGACTCAGGGGAATGATAAATTAAATCAGATATCAAGGGTAGGGGTTCTGGTTAAACCAAATTAGCAAGACCATTGCTATGATTGTGTAATGCATGTCTGATAAGAATAGACACTAAGGTCACAGCCTAGAGGGCTTATAGGCAACTGGCTAGGGTTTGGTCAAGGAGACAGTTTTTGTCCGTTTCTCCTCATGTTTCAGGAAGGAAGAAACATTGTTCTTGAGTAATAAAAGTCCATTACACATTAGGTTGCCTTTTATTCATTAAAGACCAGCTGGGAACTAATAGAGGTGGGAACTAATAGAGGCTGAACCATCTGTTGAGACTTGGTAGTAGAGGATATCTGCTGGATGGTGCAAGTAATCAGGTATCGAAGGAGCAGAGTTTTTAGGAAAACAAAGTAAGACAAAAATTAATGGTTGAAGCAAACTGAAAACCCAGTTTCTGAGTCCAGAGTATAGCCAGTTGACAAGAGTTTATGTTGGGTTCGAAGCATTTTCAGATGGTGGAGTGAGGATGGCAGTGGAGAGCTGACAGATTTCCTGGTTTGCAGTTTGAATGTCTTTGGTGATGATACATGCATCAGTGCTGCAATTTTGGTTATTTCTCAGAAGAGAGCATGGAAACATCTAGCTTCAAACACAGGGCTTCTTTAGATAGTCCCAAGAAGAACACGGGCAATCAAGTTTTAGTTCTCAGTAATGCCAAATCAGGAGTGTGGGAGAAAAACTGGAAATGTTCATTTGGAGATATGTAGCCAGATTTCAGGGGAAACTAGAAAAATTGAGCAGGATCTAGTCTAGTTTACAGACAGATAATAAAGCAGAAAGTAAAATGGAGTTACCAGGAGGTGAAAAATAGCAGCTCTAAGACAATGAACACTCAGAAAGGTAGGCTATATAGCTTTCCATGAAAATACAAAATTTCTCGCTACAATCACCCTCATTTTGATTAAAGATAACTAAAGTAAGGTTATTCTTGTCTTCAGAATAAGTCTGGTCTCATTAGATCTGGCATGATTGTTTACCTAGGTGCAGCAAGACTATAATTGACCACAAAGACCTTAAAAGTTTGCTTTGCTGAAACTTTTCATAAGGAATCTCGGATTAGACTTCTAAAATCCTCTCAAGACTAGGAAACCAAGCCAAGACCTTGCCACCAGATTTTACCTTCAATACCTATCAATTTGGGTGAATCCCTCTCTCCTTGAAGTCTCCAAAATACTCTAAGTTTCCTAGCCCTGCCTGAATAAAAACTGCATTACTCACATGTAATGCTGCAAACACTGTAAGTTAGCTCCCAGGCCATTTTTTTCTAGAAGGGCTTTTTAAGCATTGATTCCATAAAGTCAACCTTAATTCCTTAAAACTGTCTGGTCATATCTGATTCTATGCCTATTATTCTTAAATATAACATTCCATTCAAAGCCTTGGTTAATATAACCAATGTTTCCAGTTATGTCCTAGTAGAATAAAAAAGGTAGATTCTTATTGAACTTATGTAAATATATTGCCATGAAAATAAGAATATTCAATAAGAGCTTTGGAATTCTGAAGGGATCAGGAAGGGGAAAAGATAAATGTTTCATTGCGGTTTGTAAAAGTATAATATACTAAATCATTGTAATTTATGGATAGTTTATGAGAAAAAAGAAAGGGGTTTCTTATATCCAAAAAATAGAGCATTAAAGAACCAACAATGTTCCAAAGAAAAACTATAATCTTCTTTCGCCAGTTCATTTATTCCCATGTTAGTAGTTCTTATTCTACTCAGTCTTGAGTTAATAGTGTCATGAACCCATCAGCTTTTTAATAAAACCCTTGGGACTCACATGTGATTCCAAGGAAGATGGGTAATGAATGAGACTAAATTTTCTGCTCAACAGGTGGCTGGGTCTCAGATTCAGAATATATTTGATTTAAAGAAACTAAAGTATGTTGATATGTTTTGTATCTCTGAGTATATGAAGGAAAGTTCATATCTGTTGTATTCAAGTTTCTTGAGGACAGAGGCTTTGTCTTCCTTCTATTTTCTTAAAGCTGGTGCTGGATAAGTGATACAAAAATATTTGTTAAATGGAATTGAAAGAAAAAGTCGATGAACAGAATAAATATAAACTAAGAAACAAAGAAAATTGGATATTTTACATAGTTAAATAAAACTTCATTGGGGGAAGACTTCTGACTATGGATCATCTCACATGTGAAGTATCCAAATTCTTATCTAACTTCACTGTAGCATGTATGAGAGAAATAACAAGAAGGATCTAATCTAGAAACTTAGGAGCTGCAGAGAGAGCCTTACGTCTGCCTGTTTTTCTAAGAAAACTGATGGAGGAAAGAGGATCAAACAGAAAATTATTTTCTTCTGCAGGAGAAAAATTACACTGGAAGTTTACACTTGAGAGGACACCTTAAGGATTATCTGATTCAACTATTTTATTGTCTTTAAGCTAGTTTGCAACTCTGTAAATTGAAGATAAGTGGGAACAACACAAAATAATTTTTGCCTATTGACATGCAAATTCCATCCTGTTCAATAAAGGTCCAATTGATTTCCCTTCCCTTCTGTAGAAAAACCAATTTGGCCTCCATTTGCACATTCATTTTAATATTTCCGATTTATAAATGTGTCTGGTCTTCAGATTCTCTTCTGAGCCAGCTATAACATCTCCCTGGTTCCCTCACTGGTAAATGAGTAGAATAAAATATTTACCATCTGTTCATTTTTGTTTCCATGACAGTCATGAGTTTCACCTTTTTTGAAAATTAGTTTTTAAGACTCCCCAAAATAGTATTAGTTTTATGAGAAAGTAAATATTCAATTCAAAAAACCCACATAGATAAAAACAGAATCAAAAAGAGGACATTAGAGCTGTCAAAATAAATTGGGAGCTAAGCTTGGAAAAATTATTAGTGTGTTTTTAAGGGTACAGGTAAATATTTATGTTCATAATACATCACCTAAGCCCACTGCAGTAGCAACAACATTCAGGTCATACTCTAAAAGCCATCTGTAAATACATTGTTTTAATTATTTACCCCATTGCCTTCATCAAAATGTAGAGATGAATCAAATCCCAAAGCCAATTTCCTTTTTCTCCCTGTATTTACATTTGTTCCTTTCTCTGTTTGCTAAATATCTATGCAAAAATCATACTAGTGTTAAAATGTGTATGTGTTATATGGCTCAGTTATCCTCTTTGAGTCTATTACAAAATCTCCTCTGGGCTATTTCCAGGTAAGGGACTATGACAGCCAAGTTCCTCCAGAACTGTCTGAGTTAACCTTCCTCAGAAGACAGAATTTTGTGGAATAGCTTCAGGTTACAAAAATCACAAGATCTTATTATGTCAATTGAATTTGATGCGAGACACCTATCATTTCCAAACTCTATGGAATACAATTACACCATTAATTCTCTGGAGAGACAAAGAGGAGAGTTCAGGGATAAGCATTAAAAGAGGTTCCCTTCTAAATTATAATTAATTGGGCTCTGAGGAAAGTAAACCACAAGCTGAGAGAGAGATGCTCATTTGGTGAAATAAATGCAATCTCTCCCAGACACCAGAGCATTGTTTGGGAAAGGACATTTTAGAATTGAATATGTGAAAAAATAAGAAGAGGTAACACATCATTTCCACTGCGGTTTGTTAGATTCTAAAAACTACACATTATGTGCAAGAGAACACCAAATGATTCCCCCAGAATACGGACTCAAATGACAATCCTGGTTGATTACTTCTTTTAAAGCTACATTAACTGGGGATAAAAAAAAGTTACAGGCTTTCACCAGCAGAGGGGAATACTGTCCTAAGGAAAAACATGCAATCTCACGCCCATTTTTTCTATCTTAATTCTTCCGAGGTATAAGCAAGAAATGAATGCTTCTCCCTTGTTCTTCTCATTTTATGGCATGTTGAACAGCAGAGAATTTGCTACTCGATGCCTAGAGCATAATTTTTTGAGGAAGGATGAAGGAGAATGCAGGAAGCTGTGAGATCAGAGAAGAGTCAACTGAGAGCTGTCAGGCTTTAGGAGACACATGAGGCTGAATTATAAAATAGTTCCATGTGCAAAGGAAATAAGAGCTTTCCTTATATATTCATAACTTACTCCTCCCTCAAACCTTCAAATCCAAAGCTTATTCTGGAATATTGGTGAGTCCTCATTGGCTCCTTTCTATGGGAGACTATTAGCCATCCTCAACCAACAGGAACCTCTAATGTGTAGGCATTCAGCATATGTCCTTCAGGCACTATATATTTTTAAATGTCTAGCTGTTTTCCACTTAATATCACCATAGCCTTACGACTTTATTTTCCAAGGTCCCCAATACTGCCAACAATTAAGCTGATTTCATGAAGGGAAGCTATATCCTGCAGTTGAATTGCACAGCAAGTGTCACAGTCCTGAACGAATGGGAGGATCTACATTCTTGTGATACAGCAGTCCTAAGCAGCCTCCTTCCAAACCAACTTTAAAGCTGCTCCTAGGGTCACAGCAAGCAGAGGTCACTATATATCACAAGAAAAGAAGGAAGAGCATCTTCAGCAGAACACTAGGGTGGCACCCTTGGGTTAGAGAGAGATGATACAGTGCCACATTATACAGTTGTCTTCAGAGAAGAAAGAAAGAAAATGGGAGCAAGGAAGGCAGGCAGACAAAATGGTACAGGTCACTGCATAAGACAGTTTGGCAATTTCTTTAAAACCTAAACGTACTCTTACCACAAGATCCAGTGATAATGCTCCTTGGTATATATCCATAAGTTTAAAACTTTTGTCTATGCAAAAAAATGCACATAAATATTTATAGCAGTTTTATTTCTAATTTCCCAAACTTGGAAACAACCAAGATGTCCTTCAATAGGTGAATGGACAAAGAAACTGTGATACACATGGAATACTATGCAGTCATAAAAAAGAATGAAATCATGTCCTTTGTGGAAGCATGGATGGAGGTGGAAGTCATTATCCAAAGCAAATTAATACAGGAACAGAAAACCAAATGCCACATGTTCTGTCTTGTAAGTGGGAGCTAAACATTGAGTACAGATGGACACAAAGAAGGGAATAATAGATACTAGGATGGAGAGCAGGAGGAGGGAGAGGATCAAAAGCTACTCAGGTACTATGTTCATTACATAAGTGATGAAATAATCTGTATATCAAACCCCCACAACATGCAATTTACCTATATAACAAACCTTCATATGTACCGCTGAACCTAAAATCAAAAATGGAAGTAAAAAAAATAAGCCGTGGTACAACTAGATAATGATGAATTATTTAGCAATAAAAAGAAATGAGGCATGAAGACATGAAAATGCATGGAAGAACCTTAAACATATATTGCTAAGTAAAAGATGTCAATCTGAAAAGGCTATATTCTGTATCAATATAACCATATGACATTCTGGGAAAGGCAAAACTGAAGATAGTACAAAGATCAGTGGTTGTCAGGGGTTCAGGAGGTCAGAAGGAGGGACAAAATTTTTAGGGCAGTGAAACTATTCTGTATGATACAGCAATGCCAGATACATTGCGTTATACATTTGAAAAAACACACAATGTACAACTGGGTGTAAATAATAGACTTTAATAGTAATGCATTAACATTGGCTTGTCAATTCTAACAGATGTGCCACACTAATGAAAGATGTTAATAACCGAGGAAACTGAAGGGAGAGGGCAAGGGTCCTATTGAAACTATCTGTATTTTCTGCTCGTTTTTCTGTTCATTTTTCTATAAGCCTAACTACCAAAAAAAGTTAAGTCTATTATGAATGAAACAAACAAATGAAGAATAACAAGAAAGAGCTATTGGGTTGGAAACTCCTAGTAAAAAAGAAATGGTCTGACACCAGAATCTATTGAATATCTTCTCTATTTTATTGTATATATTTATCATAGAGATGTTCAGGTCCAATCAGGAGTCAGAAATCATATAGTGATTTAAATTGGGGAAGTTTAATATACAGAGTTATTAAACTATGGTCAAAGTGTAGCTAGAAAACATTTTTAAGGTTAAATGTGCTCCCTAGGACTGAGGAGAGCACTAAAGAAAGGCCAGATTTGGAACGTGTAACTTCTCCCCAAGTCTGGGTTGAAAAAAGTAAAATTGCAGTCCAGCGGACAGCAGAGGGTTCGCTCTTTGCCTGGACCCGATCTTCTGCAGTCACTGAGCAAGTAGGAAACGACCCTCTGGGGCTCAAGCTTTCTACAGCCAGTGGTCAGCATGCTGGCAGGCAGTCAACCTTTCAAGCACGGTGAGAGTATACGTGAGCTTCAGAAAGTGGTTAGAGACATAGGAGTAATAAGAACAAATACCCTGAGGACAAGAGGCCTGGAGTGCACAGTGTCTCCTAGTGTCTCTGTCAAGAAGGATGAAGGAAATTGATCACCAGGTCAGGCAGGAGCTGCAAGGTTGTGTATTGGGGTCATATATTCTGGGTTCTTGGCTGGGACACAGCACAACCCTGTCTTCATCATCACACCACTAACTGACCCTACAATCACTGGAAATAGCATAAGATCCCCTTTTGCCCACTATGTCCTTCTAGTGCCCTCTACTGAAGATGTTGAACATCATCCTCACTATGAAGGAGATGCTTACAAGAATTCCATCCTTTATCACAGACCAAGTATTGGAGAGTAAATTTGGAGCTAAGGGGCAATAAATTGATAACTGTCATATATGAATAAACTGTATGTAATTAAATACAGAATGTGAGTGCAATGATTCTCAAAAAAATTTTTTGTGTTCCTAAAGTTCTAAGATTAAGAACCTTTCCAGGTATTTGTTAAATAAATTCTTCTTAGACTGGATTGACCCTAACTGCCCATTAAAATTAAGATTCTGGAGGTCGTGCCATTGCACTCTAGCCTAGGCAAGAAGAGTGAAACTCCATCTCAAAAAAAAAAAAAAAAAAAAAAATTAAGATTCTAGAGTCTAGAGTGTGAAGTAAGCCTCATCACATAAATCTAAATGGGTGAGTCACATTGTGCCTTCACAGTATCTAATGTTATAACAACACTGTGCTG